TTCCCTTCAAGGCTCAGGGGTCCAAGATTATCTTCTGTGTCTGTGTTAATTGGTTTCCCTTTTCTTTGTTGAAGAGGGTCTGTGCAGTCCTTCTGCCTAGTCCGCCATCTTGCCGGAACTCCACCAGGGAAGATCTTAACAGTTAATTGGACACATGAACAAAGATTTGAAAGAGGTGGTCATCCTCAGGAGATAACAAGGTTAGTTGGTATAACAGTCCAAAAAGACAGTGTTCTATATCCAGTTTTGGTGAGTAGCTGCTGGCCTCTTAAAAGCTTGTGAGTGGCCATTTAAGATGCAACTATACTAGTCTCTCCCCATCTGGTGCCTACGGAATTTGACAGCTAACCAGAAGACTGGTGGTTCAAACCCACCAGCTGCTACTCAGAAGGAAGATTGGACAATCTACTTCCGTAATGATACCGCCTAGGAAACTCAAGGAGGGGTTGCTATGAATCAGATCAGACTCAACGGCAATGAGGATTTTTTTTTTTTTAATCCAGAGCTAAAAAGAGTAAAGAAAATCAAAGACACCTGGAAACAATTAGTCCAAATTACTAATGGACCACATAAAGGTCAGCTTCCACAAGACTGGAAGAACTGGATGGTGCCTGGCTACCACTGCTTACTTCTCTGAAAGGGATTATAATAGAAGGTCCTGGATAGAGTGGGAGAAAAATGTGGAACAAAACAATCATATGTTACTGGTCTGATAGAGACTGGTGGAATACCTGAGACTATGAACCTAGTAACCCCTCAAGCCTGGAACTGAATTTACTCCTGTGGCTCAACTTTCAGCCAAACATTAGGCCACCTAATTAGTAAATAGTAACATCAGGGAGGTATTGCACTCCTTAGAGCAGTCAACCATATGAGATGCCTAGGGATAAAGATCAGAAAGCAGGAAAGGATAGGGAAGAAGGTGGGATGGAAATGGTTAACATAGGGAGGAAGTGGGAAGAGTGCTGTTACAGTGTGGGGATCGCAATCAATGTTATAAAACAAAATGTGTATGAATGTGTATGATTTGAATGGAAAATCAATTTGCTCTGTAAATTTTCACTCAAATCACATTTTTTTTTTTAATATGTGGCCATTGGGGCAACAGTTTGCTAGGCAGAGGCAAGGGCAAAGGGCCAAGATGAGGTACATGTTTGTTGTGTTTTGGGACAGCAGTGGGCTCAGTATGGCTGAAATGGAACGATCAAGGAAAAAGTGTAGTAAGATGAGGTGATAGATCATGTAGTCCCACTATAAATGATACGGGGGTTTGAGCTAAGGAGTGATGATACTTGACTTCTTAAAAGAATGACAGTGTTTCATGTGTGGAAAATAGACTATGGAAGGAAGAGTGGAGGTATGGAGACCAATTAGAGATCTACTACAGTAGTTGTCTAGTGTCCTGCAGGAGACACTAGAAGCTTGAAGTGGGAAGATTTTTGGCCTAAGCAACTAGGGAATCCAAACCAAAAACCAAACTCACTGCCATTGAACCAATTCTGACTCATAGCGACCCTCTTTGGGTTTCCCAGGCAGTAATCTTTATGGAAGTTGATTGCCTAGTCTTCCTTCCGCAGAGTGGCTGGTGGGTTTGAACTGCCATCCTTCTGGTTAGCAGTCAGATGCCTTAGGCACTAGGCTACCAGAGCTCCTTAAACTAGGGAATGGAGTTGCTAATTTTCTGTGATGGGGAGGACTGCAGAGTAGTCTTGTCTTGAGGGCTTTAGAATGGGGTAGAATCAGGATACAGATTTAGACATCTTAAGTTTTAGGTACTGCAGTACAGTAAATTTTGCTTAATATGGCCCTCCTAGCTTTTGTCCTCCATTTTGTGATATATTTTAAATCCTAATCTCTATGCCTGTTTAGGGTGGAATGTATCTTGAATCCCACCTTGCTGGAGGGTATGACTCAAGTCACCACCCTTAGTTTCTTAGAAGGGTATATATGTGAATGTTCTGGGAAAATTTACACTCTTGCTCCAGTCCTGCATTTGGTTTGATTTCATCTCACCCCTAGTCTTGAGACAGCAGTCAATACAGTTGATAAATGGAAAAGGCAAAAATGGTAAATGTGATGTACATGACTAAGCCTGGAAAACGCCGGCATAGATTCTATATATGGGTGGAGAACCTTGCCAGTGTATTCTTAATAAGGAGCTTCGGTGGTGCTGTGGTTAGAGGTTCAAACTCACCAGCCATTCCATGAGAGAATGATGTGGCAATCTGCTTCCCTTAAGATTACCTTCAGCCTTGGATACCCAATGGGACAGTTCTACTCTGTCCTATAGGATCGTTATGAGTCAGAATCCACTCGATGGCAGGGGGCAGGATTCAGAGATATCCCTCAAAGTTTTTTTCCCCTAAGATTTTAAAATTTTCTAGTATTTATGAGACTAGTGGTCTTAATCATTTGAAAAAGTTTTATAGTAACATTTAATTTACAGAAGTATTTTTGTAATTGCAGTGAGATGGAAGATTTTCGAGGTATAGCAGAGGAGTCATTTCCAAGCTTTTCAACCAGTTCCTTACTTGGTAATAGTGGCATTTTGGAAAATGTCACTCTTTCTTCAAATCTTGGCTTACCTGTTGCTGTTTCCACACTTGTTAGAAATAGAGCCAGTACTGATAACAGGTAAGATTTGTTTGAACAGGTATGTGTTTTTTATTTTTATAAAACCTATGATATACTGATACTTACATAAAATTTCTTAGTCATGCTTGAGCTTTTTGCTTTATATATGAGGGATTATCTAAATTTAATATCTCATTATCTTATTGGGTAGATGAGTGAGTTTGGGTTTGAACATCAATGTTCATTGTTTTTTTTTTCTGTCCATAGTGTTTTAGACTTTTATTATTTCAGTTGATAATATAATTAGTTGCTGGTAATATAAACCACTTTTGGTTAGCTAAATTCAAATGATAGGGTTTAAGAGTACTTCAGAAGATGAAGAGCAGTAATATGGAGCTGTGGCAAAAAGGGACAGGGAGCAATCAAGACTGAGGTCTGTCTTTCCACTTCCCTCTGTGTAAGCGTTTAATTTTCTCCTCTCTTTCTATACATTGGATTTATCTGCTTTTCTATTCAGTGTTGTAGAATATGGCAACATACAATTCCCAAAAGGTATATTGTTTGTTGTTATGTGCCATCGAGTCAGACCTGACTCATAGCGACTCCTTCTTGGTTTCCAAGGCGGTATCACTACAGAAGTAGATTGCCCAACCTTCCTTCTGAGGAGTAGCCAAAAAGTATATATGTATTATATTTCCAGCTATACAAGGAAACTAATAAACTGTCTCTTAAAACTGCATTATTTATTGGTATAGCTTCGATTCGGCATCTATCTGAAGTCCAGTTACCTATGGCTAGATCCAGGTTCACCTCTTCATACTTGATTGATTTTCTTTCTCTTCAGTCTATTGTGTACTTCTGAAATAACTTAGCTCTTAACTTTGTAACAATTTTTAATTCCCTAGTCAAGTTTTTCTTTTTTAAGAGAAGTAAACCAGCTTTTGTACCTTTTTTCATTCTTTCCATTTTAATAACCAGATAGCTGTTTAGTTAAATATGTCTCATTTTCTATCTCCAAATGTGATGTTGCATCCTTGTATAATGTGTAAATTTTGCCCATGCTTAAATATCTACACACTTTCTCAACCTAGTTTCAACCTAAACATTTATCTTAGGGATAAAGAGGTTAGATTAGTTATCCAAAAACTCTTTTAAAGCTGAAAAGATTTCTGTAAGTGTATTGTTTAATACATATAAACACTTAATTGCTGATACAGAGATTTTCTGTGTTTTACACATAGAATGATGGTTTTGAACACCACGGGCCCTATTTATTTTCACCCTAGGTGGTTGATTTTAGTATCATGCGGTGCTGCATCATGGTGAACTTTAAATATGGATAATTTAATGCTTAACAATTGAAACGATTTTTTTTTTTGTGTGTGTATAGGTGTTCTGATATCCAGGCATCTTACTTAGTAGAAGGGGGATTTTCAGTTCCATCAGAAACATCTCACAGTAGGCAGAGTGATGCTGAACCAAAACGGAAGTTACAGCTTAGTTTCCATGATGATGAGTAAGTTCGTATCTTAATTTTACATTATGTTAAAGTAAGTCTCACTCAGTATTGTGGAACATGAAAGTATGATTGTCTCTTTATGTCTAAGAACCTGTCACCGTTTTTTAAATATTACTGTAATCACAAACTTTTTTTTACTAAGTTTTATTTTTTTTATTATTGTTGAGAATATACAACAAAACATATACTAATTCAACAATTTCTACATGTACAACTTAGTGACATTCTTTGAGTTGTGCAACCATTCTCACCCTCCTTTTGTGCATTGCTCTTCCCCATTAACATAGATTAACTAAGGTTAATCACAGACATCTTTAATCTTTAAAAATATTTTTTCTGAATCTGAAAGTAATGTATATTTATTTAAAAATGTAGAAAATACAGAAAATTGTAAGGAAAACTAAAAAAATCTATCATTTTACAATTAGAGAATAGCCATTGATTACATTTTTGTTGATTGTCTTCTAGACTATTTTCTATGTTTATATTCCCGTGATATGTGTGTGTTTATGTTTTTTTAAACAAAAACTGACTGAAACTGCACATGCTGTTTTTAACTTTTAAAAATTAATCTTTTGTACTCATCTTTCAATTTCAATTAATATAGATTTGTATAATAATTCAATTAAATCTGTTGGACATTTAGCTTATTAGTTTTGCTATTATATAATGAAGTTATTTATTTATACTTACATTTTGGACACCTGGGAGATTATTAAGATAAATTTCTAGAACTGAAATTGCTAAGTTAAGAATATTTACTTTTTTTTTTTAAATTTGTGATTTGAGTGAAAATTTACAGAGCAAAATTATTTTCCATTCAGCAGTCCATGCACATTCTGTTTCATGATATTGATTGCAATCCCCATAATGTAACAGCTGTCTTCCTACTTCTTCCCTGTGGTTAACTTTTCCCTGTGTCTTTTTATACTTTTTCTGCCGTCTAAGTTATTTCCCTGCTTAGATGTTGCCTTTTCTGATCTCCCATGGTTAATTGTTCTAAGGAGTGTGCCTACCTGGTGTAATTTTTCACTTTGTCAGCTTGTCTTGTTTGGCTGGAAGCCACAAGTGAGTTCAGTTCCAGCCCTGAAGGGTGACTAGGAGCCATAGTTTCAGAGGTTTCACCAGTCTCTCTCAGATGAGTAATCCTGATCTCTCTCTCTTTTTTTTTTTTTTTATGATTTTTGAGTTTTCATCTACATTTTTTTCCCATTCTATCCAGGATCTCATATTTTGATGTCTTTTTGACTGGTTGACAGTGGTAGCTGGGTACCATCTAGTTTTGATCTCAGAGTCACATAGGCTGAAGTTCCCATGTTCAACTAGTTCCTTAGACGAATTGTTTCCGTGCGTCTTGGATTTTCTTCATTCTTCTCTGATCCAGGAGAGACCAATTGGCTGCTTGCCAGCTTTTAAGACCAGTGTCTCTACTCATCAAAGTAGGATGTAGAACAGTGTTCTTGTGTAGTGTCTAATGTCAGTTGATACTAATATCCCCCCCATAGCCATGGTGCCAAGCCCATGTGACTCCCTCCTTCAAGGTGTTTGGCTGTAGTTAAAAAGTTATCATAACTCTACCTTCTGTTTGGGCTATTATATATATGGACTTCCTTTCAGCACATACAAGTAAGTATGTAGAAATACCTTATGCCAAAATAACACGGTCATGGGTACTTTCCCTTTTGCCTACCCATACCTGATCATTTAGCCCTGTCTACCTATGTGTCCACCCGTAGAATAATGTTTGTAATGCAATTATGTATATATAAAAGTGTTTACTGTAGCTCTTGTATACCACTCCGTGTCTTTCTTTTCCTTTGTAATATTGTGCTGGCCACCTGCTTTTGCTATATTGCCTCTCTCTTTACCTAGTCTCTTACTAGCTAGCATTTTCCTCCCCTTTCTTCCCTAGTAAACAACAAAGGAAGTTTCCTTCCACGTGTAAATCATTCCTTAAGTTTTTGCAACACCGAATTCATACAATATTTGTCCTTTTGTGATTGACTTATTTCACTCAGCATAATGTCCTCCAAGTTCATCCATGTTATGAGGTGTTTTGGAGATTCTACATTTTTCTTTAGGGTTGTGTAGTATTCCACTGGGTGTATGTGTCATAGTTTGGTTATTCTTCCATTGATGGACACTTAGGTTGTTTCCATCTCTTTGCTATTGTGAATAGTGCTGTGACGAATGTGGGTGTGCATATATCTATTTGTGTCCTGGCTCTTACTTCTTTAGGATACATACCTAGTAATGATATTATTGCTGGATCAAATGGTATTTCTGTTTCCAATTTTTTAAGGAATTGCTATATTGATTTCCACAGTGGTTCTATCATTTTACAGTCCCACCAGCAGTGTATGAGAATCCTAATCTCTCCACATCCTTGCCAGCATTTATTTTCTGTCTTGTTGAACTTTGTTATTAATGCTGGGGTAAGATGGTATCTCCTTGTTTTCATTTGCATCTCTCTAATGGCTAATGATCATGAACATTTCTTCATTTGTTTGTTGGCTGCCTGAATATCTTCTTTGGTAAAGTGTGTCTATTCATGTATTCTGCTCATATTTTAATTGGATTGTTTGTTTTTTTGATGGTGAGGTGTTGGAGTTTTCTATAAATTTTAGAAAATAAGTGCCTTCTTGTCAGATATGTTCTTGCCACATATTTTTTTCGCACTCTGTAGGTTCTCTTTTTACTCTTTGAAGAAGTCTTTTGATGCACATAAGAATTTAATTTTCAGAAGGTCCCAGTCATCTAGTTTATTTCCTGCTGATGCTACTTTGTGTAGACTGGATTGGTTAGTTGTCTTGGAGACATTGTAATGTAGTATTTATATTTACTGGGTGATTAGATGTTGGTGTGGTTTGACCAAGATTTTTTAATTTTGTTTTGATATATCTATGTGAGCAGGGCTACTGTTCTCCTTTATTCACTAGTTGGCAGCACTTAGGCACTCACTACCTGTCTCCTAGAGGGTGTGATAGAAAATGAGAGTATGTGTACAGATCTTTGTTAGCTGTTCATGAGGAATTCACCACTTGTCTCCTGGTGGGTGTGATAGAGAATGAGAATGTGTGTACAGATCTCTCTTAGCTGATCATAAAGAGCAGTTGAGGGTGACTTGGGCTGGTATTGGCTGCCATCTTTCGTTCATCAGTTGGTGCAGAAGAAACTGGTGACACCTCACCCAGGAAGTGTAGGTATTGTTGGCTCATGAGGGCATAGGTGCTGTCACTCAAAATAAAAAAAATGTCTTGTTGAACTTTGTTATTAGTAAATTATTAATATTTTTTATAAATAAAAAACCCACCAAAAATATAAAAACAAGAGAACAAAAGTCACAAACCACATAAACACACTACAGCAATAACCAAAAAAAAAAAAGGCAATAAATGAAAAAAAGGAAGAGAAAGAGAACAAAACTTCATAATACCTAAAGAAGGGGGGAGGTGCTCTGGTAGCGTAGTGCCTAAGTTACTTGACTACTAACCAGAAGGCTGGCAGTTCAAACCCACCAGCCACTCCTCATAAGGAAGATTGGGCAATCTACTTCTGTAGTGATAATGCCTCGGAAACCCGAGGGGTCACTATGAGTCGGGTCCGACTCGACAGCATGAAACAACAACAACAAGGAAGGGGGAATAAGAAAAAAGAACAAGAGAAAAAGAATAACAAAGAAAATATGAGAAAACTGCAAAAAGAAAACAAGGGGTGGGAAGAACCAAAAGAGGAAAAGGAATAGAAGGGAACCAGGAAAAGAGAAATGACAAAGAAAACAAAAACACAAAACAAGAACCTGGGAAGGTGTTCTGGTTACCTAGTGCCACTCTGACGGAACAAATGGGACGGCCTTAATAAATAGGAGTTTATTCTTACAATTTGGAGGCTTTAAGTCCAAGTTCAAAGTGCCAGGCTCTAGGGGCTGGGTGAAAG